TTTTTTTTTTTTTTTTTCTTTTTTTTTTTAACCCCGCAAAGGTATACATACAAGCCCGCACTTACGTTCTCGCGCGAAGGTATAGAGGCAGGGGCTTCCCGCTTAAGATTAACACCAAAGGTTATCTTCACATGTAGAGGGGGAGTGAAAAAAAAAAAAAAAAAAACATCTGCATAAATAAAAATACCTATTTATGCGCCTTTTGTGTCGGGCGTGAATGTGGTGCGCATATTTTGCATATACATGTACACATATAAATATACTTTTATTACACGCACGGGATAACATTTGAATACGCTGTGCCTGTCGACTGGGAGCGGTAGATGAAGACGACTGCGAAAGGTGTAGCATTTTCATGCATGGCAGCGTGTAAATGGTGTTACTAAAATCAATTTGATAAATATTTTTTTTTTTTGTACCTCATAGAGGAACTGAAAAAAAAAAAATACAGCGAATACCACCAACACAATGGGTGAAGCATTCGAAAAAAAAAAAAAAAAATTAGAAGAGAAAAACAACTGAGTGTAGTCTCCATTAGTGCAATTCATTTTTTGCAAAGTACACGGCATACACACACTACGTTCACTAAATGAGGTACATTAATAAAAGCAGTGATGCTAGTCCCCCTCTTTCTCCTTTCTCTTTTTACAAAACAAAGAATAAACGGCAACGCGATCTGTTGTTGCCTCTTTTTTTTTTTTTTTTTTTTTAATAGCCCCGTCAGCGGCATTTGTACCACGATGCGGCTAAGAGTTAACCATTTTTGAGGAGTGCAACGGGGATAATTCTGTGAAACTTTCACAACCGGAGTGAGTGTGTCTGCCCGCTGAATGTGCACCCAGGACGAGGCAATCTCTCACCAGCAATAGTTTGACGGGCGTTACACCCTTCATATGGTCGCCATACATGTTTACGTTTTACGCGGTATATATATATGGTCTCAAGACGGGTTTAATTGTGGGGGCATAAATTTGAGCCGAGGAGGTGAAGAGATTTAAAAAGGGGGGCATGCACAAGGCTGTGTGTGCCCTAGGGCCACACCGACGTGATCAGCTGCGGTGTAGTGAACTGCAGCGTAAGGCACACCGCACTGCAGAGACGAATATAGAAAAAAAAAAAAAAAAAAAAAAAAAAAAAAAA